CCTAGTCCACAGTGGCGTAGCGTGGGGGGTGTAGGGGGGGCCGGCCGCACCGGGCGCAACATCTGGGGTTAGGGCAAACCCACAGGTTAGGGGGCGCAAATCCACGGGTTAGGGGGCGCAAATCCATGGGTTAGGGGGCGCAAATTACTTGCCTTGCCCCGGGTGCTGACAACCCACGCTACGCCACTGCTAGTCCGATCCAGCTTCACACCACATCTGTTTATACTAGTTCCTTCTGGTGGGTTGTGCATGTGCGGCAAAAGAAAGGAAGAAAAGTCATCTTGATTGCTTTGCAAATGGTTAGTGGATTGCTGAGTTAATGGGCCGTACGGATTATTATGTGTGCTGTACGCTAATGCAGTCCCCACTTGTCAAGAGAGACAGAGGAGAAGAAACTGTGGAAAGGAAGGTGGAAAAAAATATATCTTCAGCCTCCTCCCTCCCCAAAAAAGCTCTTTCCGGGTAGTTATATTTAGTGACATCCCTGGCTGGCTATTGATCCAGCCGGCGGAGGAGGGATATAAAACTTTGAAATGATGCACTCAGTTGACCTGGCGACAAGCAGGGCAGCTGGGAAGAGAAAGGGCGAACAAGGAACGGCTGCTGAACTTTGCACTTGGGTCATTTCAGGAGACCGAAGAAGCTGCCTGATACCAAGTCAGGCGAATGGCCCATCTGAGCTCAGGACTGCCTACACTGGCTGGCAGCAGCTCTCCAGAGTTTCAGGACTAGGGGGACATTCCTAGTCCTTTCTGGAGGTACCCTGATATTGACCCTGGGATGCTCTGTATGCAAGATGCTCCTCTGTAGGCTATCTTTTTTATACCTGTAAAGGGGGAAATTTGGAGAATCTCTTGGAGTGAAAAAAGCAGCTTGTGGAGGGCAGTTTTGAACGGGAAAATTTCCTAAGGGTTAAGTAGTCCATCTTCTGGATCACAGTAGGGGAGGTAAATGTTACATTCCCCCCTCCACACCGGCTATGATCCTGATAATTCTCCCCCCTTACAATGATCCTGGTAATTATTAACCCCTTGATGTGCTCCTGGGGACGCGGGTGGCGCTGTGGGTTAAACCACAGAGCCTAGGACTTGCCAATCAGAAGGTCGTCGGTTCTAATCCCCGTGACGGGGTGAGCTCCCATTGCTCGGTCCCTGCTCCTGCCAACCTAGCAGTTTGAAAGCACATCAAAGTGCAAGTAGATAAATAGGTACCGCTCCGGCGGGAAGGTAAACGGTGTTTCCATGCGCTGCTCTGGTTCTCCAGAAGTGGCTTAGTCATGCTGGCCACATGACCCGGAAGCTGTACGCCGGCTCCCTTGGCCAATAAAGCGAGATGAGCGCCGCAACCCCAGAGTCGGCCACGACTGGTCAGGGGTCCCTTTACCTTTACCTGATGTGCTCCTGATTTTTATTAGCTTTCCTCCTGTTGATGCCATTTTAAAAGACCTTCACACTAAAGGCTAAGGCAGAGGGCAGCATTTTTTTTTAGCCGCAGGCCGGTCCACTGTCCCTCAGACCTTGGTGGCAGGAGAAGCAGCACCGGGGGGTGGGAAGCTGGAAGAAGAGGCAAGGGGGGCAAGCAGTCCTCACCCCCAGCCCTAGCCACTGTGCTTACCTTCCCTGGGGCTGCCACCACCACCACTGCTGCTGTTTCCTGTGGGTAGGCAGAGCGAGCTCATCTGCTTCGCTCTCTGGCCCACAGGAACACCAGGGCGGCGGTTGGGGGCGGGGAAAGATGAGCGGCGCAAAAGGGCTGGCTCCAGAGAGGGGCTGCTTAAAATGGCGCTCAGCCAGCTCAGCCCAGTCCCCTTCCTCCTCTAGGCAGGGCGAGGAGAAGATAGGAGGAGGGAGGGAGGAGGCGCCGCCGTTGTGTGTGTGATGGAGAGGGGGGGAAATGGAATGGCGCCGGGGGGGAAATGGCGCAGCCCGAGCAAACAGAATCCCCACGCCGATCCATGGACAGTCCGGGGCCAGATCCTGAAGGCAATTGGGCCTGATCCGACCCTCAGACCTTAGTTTGCTGGCCCCTGGGCTAAGGCATATTTTTTTAAAATAATTTTTGTATTAATTTTCAACATACAGTGGTACCTCGGGTTACATACGCTTCAGGTTACATACGCTTCAGGTTACAGACTCTGCTAACCCAGAAATAGTACCTCGGGTTAAGAACTTCAGGATAAGAACAGAAATCGTGCGGTGGCAGTGGGAGGCACCATTAGCTAAAGTGGTGCTTCAGGTTAAGAACAGTTTCATGTTAAGAACGGACCTCCGGAACGAATTAAGTACTTAACCTGAGGTACCACTGTATCATTTTCAACAATAATTAAACATACTTTAACTTCTTATACAATTTTTTCTGAGTTGCATCAATCACATCTGAAAATTTTCCAATCTAATTACTTAATTTACATTTCTTATTTTCACTATTACATTTAAATCTCATATCTAATATCTCTCTTCTTTGCAATATTTCTTATATTTCTCCTTACAAAACTTCTTGTAGTCCTACTAGCGTAATTTGTTGATTACAATTGCTCTTCAAATAGTTCGTATATTTCTTCCAATCTTCTGTAAATCTCTGGTCCCACAGGTTTCAAATCCTTCCTGTCATTTTATCCAATTCTGCGTAGTCCATTTATTTTATCTGCCATTCTTCTTTCTTCGGTATTTCTTCTTGCTTCCGTTTCTGAGCCAACAATACTCTTACCGCTGTGGCCTAAGGCATATTTAACACCACTAACACCAAGGTTCAGTACCCGTATTGGACAACTGCATATTCCTGTATTGCAGGAGATTGGAGTAGATGAACCTCAGAGTCCCTTTGAAGGAATGGGTTTCTGTGCAGTCAGTTTAAAACTGACTCAAACCCTGCCCCCCTCTGCATTGCTGCCGGAAGGGAGGGAAGGAAGTCAAATGACACCGAGGGTTGGTTCCAAGAAAGAGTTTATTCTGCTCTGCGGATAGCAGAAGGCACTTGCGTGGTCAGTCCACAGCAAGTCCAAAGAAATGAGAAAATTCATGCAGTATATATATCCTCCAGGCACCCTCTCCCCCTTCCCCAGAAATCCAACCACGTCAGCCTATGTACGCAGGTTGACATCACATATGTTCCTGCTCTGGTATTCTTAACCATAAAAGGGTATTCCTTCCTGTACTTCTGACCATAAAAGGATCTTCCTGTTCCTACTCTTATCTTGGAGCAAGAGGTCATCATCTCCGAGAACACACTCTGGCGCTGCTCCCAGACTTGGGTCTGTGTGTCTTTGTGGTCAAAACATAAGATGAGGCACAAACGTGTCTTCTCTGTTCTACTGGTACAGTCAAGGCTTTGCTTGCTGTCACAAACTGATAAAGGAGAGGGCTCTGAGCATTTGTTTATACAGCTGAGCCTTTTGACTCAAGAGCTCAAGTTTATGCATTTTAGAAATGCTAAGAAGAAAAGGGGGGGGGTTCGAGTCAGTTTTAAACTGACTGCACAGAAACCCATTCCTTCACCTTCTGTAATTTTGCTTTTGCCGCAAGTCTTGGCCGCAGCGCTGTGCAGACAGGAACTGTATTCTAACCCCACTTTCCTGGGAGTAAGCTTAATTAAATTCAATAGGGATTAGAGATGAGAGCTAATTTTGTGCTGAAAGTCATGCTCCCAGCTCCCTGTAGTCCACCGATTTCAATAGATCTACTTTTGAGTATAACTTGGTGGGATACTAAGAAGTTAAGCCAGGCTCTCCTGTACAGTAGTTTGCAAATTCTGCTTGGTTTTCCCCCTCCTCACTGGAGTCTTGAAAGGTTTTGATAGAAGAGGGGAAAAAGAGGGATTAGCCTCAATTCCTACCTCTGGCTCTCCTGATATTGTTCTTTCTCCTAGAGAAAAAAGGTAGGTAGCATAAGATTTATTTAACTCTGTAGCTGGAAGACAGGCTAAATCTGTTCCTCTACCCATTTTACAAGGAAGATAGAAAAGCTTCATAGATTTTTCTTCCTAAGGGTGGACTGTTGAGTTAAGCTCGCGTTTTATCACCCACTGATTATTCTTCCTGGAATTCTTTCTCTGAAAGGATAGTCACTGGTACTTTTTTTTATAAACCTTGACTGTACTGAGTTTGTGTTGGCCCGAAATATATTTCTGCAATAAAGGCCAGCAGTCTTCAACTTGAGAGGAACCATAAAGATGGACTATCCTGACTTTTTTGTTTGTTTCGAAGATGCAGTAGAACTTCCTCTGGAGTGATTCTCTCACACTGGTGGCCCATTTTGCACTTTCAAGTTACGTACGCTTCAGGTTACAGACTCCGCTAACCCAGAAATAATACCTCGAGTTAAGAACTTTGCTTCAGGATGAGAACAGAAATTGTGCTCCGGCGGCGCAGCAGCAGCAGGAGGCCCCATTAGCTAAAGTGGTGCTTCAGGTTAAGAACAGTTTCAGGTTAAGAACGGACCTCCAGAACGAATTAAGTTCTTAACCTGAGGTACCACTGTATTGGGAAATGTCTAATGATAAAACAAATGTCTCATGTTTTACAATTTTTTAAGTGTTGTAAGCCACCCAGAGTGGCTGGGGAAACCCAGCTAGATGGGCGGGTAATAAATATTATTATAAATATTATTATGGTGATGAAGGTGCACCTGCATCAGCATGGCCTGATGCCTTCATCTGCCCCAGTTGCAACTAAACATGTCTCTCCTGTATCAGTCTCTACAGCCACAGCAGGGCTGTAATTCTCCAACCGTTTGACTTCACCCCTGAAGGCACACTCTTCGACTGTCTCCTGAGACAGATGGATGCCAACAGCAGCAACAGTTCAGGGTGTTGGACTAGATGATCATTGGGGTCCCTTCCATCTCTATGATTTTTTGTGGGAGGGAATGGCAGGTGGAAGAGTTTGTAATATTCCTCTGTTTAGCTTTAGCTTGTTTCCCGTGAGACACGGATGCTGATCAGACGAGAGTCTTCCCCTTGCTAACCTGTTGTTTTCTCTCTCTGCTTCTCTCTCTCTTTTGAAGGACATCAACCAGAAACTTCAGGAGGACAACCAGGAGCTGCGAGACCTTTGCTGCTTCTTGGACGATGACCGGCAGAAAGGCAAGAAGGTTTCCCGCGAGTGGCAGAGGCTCGGCCGGTACAGCGCAGGCGTCATGCACAAGGAGGTGTCCCTGTATCTTCAGAAGCTGAAGGAGCTGGAAGTTCGGCAGGAGGAGGTGGTGAAGGAGAACCTGGAGCTGAAGGAGCTCTGCGTCCTGCTGGACGAGGAGAAGGGCGGTGTTGCCGGTTGCCGAAACTCGATCGACAGCCAGGCCAGCCTCTGCCAGCTCAATGCCACGAGCGCCTTCATCAGGGACGTCGGAGACGGCAGCAGCACCTCCAGCACCGGCAGCACGGACAGCCCTGACCACCACAAGCACCACCCGAACTCGAGTCCCGAGCACCTCCAGAAGGCGAGGAGCGAGGGGAGTCCCGAACATCAGAAACACCGCAGCGCCAGCCCCGAACACCTCCACAAACCCCGCGGCTCCGGCAGCCCCGATCACCAGAAACACCTGAAAGGACCCAGCCCGGAGCACCACAAGACTCTCGGAAAAGGGTCCGTGGAGCAGCAGAAGCACAGCTGCAGCAGTCCGGAAACGCTGCCGAAGCACTTGTTGAGTGGCAGCCCCGAACACTTTCAGAAACACAGGCCTGGCGGCAGCCCGGAACACCAGAAGCACAGCGCTGGCAGCGGCAGCCCCGAACTTCTCCACAAACACACTCTGAGCGGGAGCTCTGAGCACCTCCCGAAAGCGAGGGGGACCAGCCCCGAACATCTCAAGCAGCACTATGGCGGAAGCCCGGACCACCTCAAGCACTTGGGGGGTAGCAGCAGCAGAGAAGGCACCTTAAGGAGGCCTGTGACGGATGACCTCTCTCCCCATCACCGAGGCCTCTACAATGGGATGAACGGTGAGTCCATGTTATTTTATTTTATTGCAGCGATGATGTCGAAGGGTTCATCTTTCCTCTTTGCGTGTGTGCAAATTACGGAAGCGCCGAGGTGGGGGAAGGCGCCCATTTCTGTACGTACGTGATGGAAGGCTTCTTGCGCAGCACGGAGCAGGAACCATGCGGCCAAGGCTGCAGTCACACCCGGTGATGATTCAGTGGCTAAGTACGGGCGAAGTTGATGGATGCCTTGCCGTAACAGGCTGCACAACAGTTGTAACTCCTGGGCTTTTGCGCAAAAGCATCTTGCCTGTACAAAGAGGCTTTGAAATATGGGATTCCTCTAGGCTGGAGCTAATGTACTGTGAGCACGGCCTGAGTGCACGTAGGCTGGATACGGAACGGAGAGAATAGGCTGGATGGGGAGAAGCCTTCCTTTCATAAGGGTAGCGCCTGGGGATGGAGGGCATCTGTGTAGCTTTTAATTCATTACAGCTGCTGTCTTCTGGCATAGGGTTGCTTCCAGGGGACATTCAAAACATAGCGTCAAGGACTTCACTGAACCCGGCCTTTCCAAAGGCCAGTGCAGGAGTTTCCTTAGTGTTCATGAATTGCAGTCTTCTTTGGAGTTTGCTTAGGGATGCGGGTGGCACTGTGGGTTAAACCACAGAACCTAGGACTTGCTGATCAGAAGGTCGGCGGTTCAAATCCCCGCGACAGGGTGAGCTCCCGTTGCTCGGTCCCTGCTCCTGCCAACCTAGCAGTTCGGAAGCACGTCAGAGTGCAAGTAGATCTATAGGTACCACTCCAGCGGGAAGGTAAGCGGTGTTTCTGTGCGCTGCTCTGGTTCGCCAGGGTGCTGGCCACATGACCCGGAAGCTGTACGCCGGCTCCCTCGGCCAATAAAGCGAGATGAGCACTGCAACCCCAGAGTTGTCCGCGACTGGTCAGGGGTCCCTTTACCTCTTTACTTGGAGTTTGTGTGGCCTTTTCCGCTGATGAGCGAATCGCCCCTCATTGGCTTTTCTCCTGCTGCCATATCTTACCCAGTGAAAGAAGGATTTTAGAGCAGGGGGTAGACAGTGTATTGCCGTCCAGGTGTTGTTAGACTCCAACTCCCAAACCCTGCCAGCCAGCATGGTCAGTAGTCAGGAATAGGGATGGATGGATCTGTCAGTTTTGGTTCTCTGTCTATTTCTCTCTCTTTTTCTAATTTTCAATTCACTTTTCCACAAGTCTGCAGCAATTTGTGTGTTGCTTTTAAAGTCTGAATGAAAATCCACCAGCATCTAAGTGCGAATTTCTCCTAATACACACATTGATGTATGCAATTTTGACCAAAGTATGTAATTTTTTTTGCAAACAATAACAATGCTTTTTTGTATGTTAATTTCACTAATATAGTCAATTTGATCCACACACACCACTCTAATATTTGCACTTTTGTAAACATTTTGTAAACAGGGACGCAGGTGGCACTATGCTCTAAACCACAGAGCCTAGCGCTTGCCGATCAGAAGGTAGGCAGTTCAAATCCCCGCGACGGGGTGAGCTCCCATTGTTTGGTCCCAGCTCCTACCCATCTAGCAGTTCGAAAACACGTCCAAGTGCAAGTAGATAAATAGGTACCGCTCCTGTGGGAAGGTAAACAGTGTTTCTGTACGCTGCTCTGGTTCACCAGAAGCAGCATAGTCATTCTGGCCACATGATCCGGAAGCTGTCTGCAGACAAACGCCGGCTCCCTCGGCCTATAGAGCGAGATGAGTGCGCAACCCCAGAGTTGTCTGCAACTGGACCTAATGGTCAGGGGTACCTTTAGCTTTAAACATTGGTTGAAGAATTGCATCAAGAACTTCAGAGAAATGTGAATTTTAAAGGATAGCTGTGTTTCAACTCTAAGTGTTTTAGAAAGGGCAAATTAAGTAGGTTTGCCTGCAACGGTGAACTGAATCGAATTTCTCCCCCACCCCTGGTCAGGAATGATGAGAGCTGTCATCTAGCACCAGCTAGAGAGCACCATGTTGGGTATCTCTGCCATTAGAAGCATGGAATTCTCAAATTGAGCCACAATTCTGAATCCCAAAACAGTCCATGCACCGTAGCTTTGCCTTCTTAGAATCATAGAATCATAGAATCATAGAATCATAGAGTTGGAAGAGACCACAAGGGCCATCGAGTCCAACCCCCTGCCAAGCAGGAAACACCATCAGAGCACTCCTGACATATGGTTGTCAAGCCTCTGCTTAAAAACCTCCAAAGGAGACTCCACCACACTCCTTGGCAGCAAATTCCACTGTCGAACAGCTCTTACTGTCAGGAAGTTCTTCCTAATGTTTAGGTGGAATCTTCTTTCTTGTAGTTTGGATCCATTGCTCCGTGTCCGCTTCTCTGGAGCAGCAGAAAACAACCTTTCTCCCTCCTCTATGTGACATCCTTTTATATATTTGAACATGGCTATCATATCACCCCTTAACCTCCTCTTCTCCAGGCTAAACATGCCCAGCTCCCTTAAAGGGGACACTTGAGCAGTCTTGCAGTCTTTGTCCTCCACTTCAGGTTACCTACTTGGCGAATGTTTACTCGCTTCATCTTAATTGCTTTTTCCTGGGATTCTCTGCAAAGAAACAAAAGCGGATTCCTTTGACATTTAGCTCTTCCGATGCAGTTTGTGACAGTAGGCTGACATTTTAACAGATGTTTCTGGGATGCGCGTCTATTCTCAGTTGATGGAGAAGTGGATCAGGCTCCCACCTGCTGTGCAGTGCGAGGATTTTAAGCCTGAATCATTTCCTAAGGGTACAGTTGGTGTTCACGTCTTGCCGATTATTTATCAGGATGGCGATCCAGTAACTTATAGGCTCTGGGGTACATCTGAGGAAGGATGTTGATGTTGTCATGATGGTTCCACCAGGGTTAAAAAAAGGAGATTGGTGGTAGCAGCCCAGGAATCTGTCTTCGTAGATTTGGGATCTTACTGGGAACCTACAAATCTTAACATTTTGGAGGGTGGTGAAGGAATGGGTTTCCCAAATCTAAATCTGTGCAGTCAGTCTGAAACGGGCCCCAAAATCCCCATTTTTCCTTCTCCAAGGGTCCATTAGCTAAAAAACATTAACTTGAGCACTTGAGCCAATGTATAACAGGAACCTAGCTGTATAAACGAAGCCCTCTCCTTTATCAGTCCGTGACGCTTAATGGATGGCCTTGTCAGTTCCGAAGTGGAGACAGGACGGCAGAGCTGGGGCTTGTCTTATCTTATGTGGAATGCCATGCATAGTTAACCTCTGGAATTCGCTGCTGCAGGGTGCAGTGGTGGCCACCTTACTTGGAGGCTTTGAAAGAGGAGGAGACAAATTCATGGAGGCCATGTTTCTTTTCTACAGTTGGAGGCAGTGATGCTTCTGAACTCCAGTTGTTGGAATCCACAAGAAGGAAGAGCGGTGTTGTGTTTGGGTTCTGCTTGCAGCTTTCCCGCAGGCCTCTGGTTGGCCACTGTGAGAACAGCATTTACAATACAATACAATATGATAATCTTTATTGTCATTGTCCCATACAGAACAATGAAATTGAAAAATCTATATAACACATTCAAAACCCAACAAGCCTGCTATCCCAGCTATCCCAACCTGGTTAGCCCCCTAAAAACGTTGATACCCCATTTTTCAATACAATATACTCCCATACAGATTCCTTAAAGGTAAAGGTAAAGGTACCCCTGCCCGTACGGGCCAGTCTTGACAGACTCTAGGGTTGTGCGCCCATCTCACTCTATAGGCCGGGGGCCAGCGCTGTCCGAAGACACTTCCGGGTCACGTGGCCAGCGTGACAAGCTGCATCTGGCGAGCCAGCGCAGCACACGGAACGCCGTTTACCTTCCCGCTGGTAAGCGGTCCCTATTTATCTACTTGCACCCGGGGATGCTTTCAAACTGCTAGGTTGGCAGGCGCTGGGACCGAGCAGCGGGAGCGCACCCCGCCGCGGGGATTCGAACCGCCGACCTTTCTATCGGCAAGCCCTAGGCGCTGAGGCTTTTACCCACAGCGCCACCCTTACAATGCGTTTAAAACCAAAATCGCATTTGGGTAGAAACTGTTTCTCAGGCGGCTAGTCCTAGTCTTTATAACCCTGTACCTTCTTCCAGAAGGCATTCATAGTCCTACCTGGCAACACCAGGGATTGAACATGGCACCTTCTGTGTGCCAAACAGATGCTCTGCTGATGAGCTTTGAGTTCACAGTGGGATCCCTGAAGGCAGACTTAGTTACAGATATATACATGTGGATCTATCCCATATGGGATAGATTATATTGTATTACATTATATTGTATTATATTATATTATCCCATATGAGATAGATTTTCTAGCTAAAAAGCTGCTCCAACAACGGAGGAAGTCAAAGAGAGAGTGTGCTGCGTGCCTTGTCCTTTTGGTTACCTGAACAGGTAAGGTCACGCCCACCTCTAGTCACATGCAAAGGAAGGATGTTCCAGCCAGGAGGAAACAGGAAGTTTTCGACTGGCTGGACCAAACATTCCCCTGCATGTCCACTCTAGGAAAACAAGGAATGTTGTACTTGACTGCTTCTTATGTATCACATCCCACACTTTGTCTGTTCCTCCTCCCAAGCTGTAACACATAGTAATGAACATGCCTGGCATGGCCTTATTCTTATTGGTGTTGACTTCCCCCTTCCTCCCTCTGCATTTACCCTGGAAAAGAGGAGAGACGATAGGCACCTTCAAATATCTAAAGCAGGGGTCAGCAAGGTTTACCTCGCCTGGGCCGGTTCGCGCCGCGGAAGCGAGTCCCCACATCGTGTTGTTCCGGTTTAGCGCAGCGCATGAGAACTCGCCGAGTGGGCGGCTTGGTTTGGGGGTGGCTCATGGGCTGGTTAAATGACCCCCGTGGGCTGTTTGTGGCCCATGGGCCTTAGGTTGCCTACCCCAATCTAAAGGGTTGTCACATGGAAGAGGGAACTATTGGGATGCATCCAAGGAAATGGGGGCAATTTGCAAGCCCCC